TACTGCATGAATATAGCAACTGCATTAAGCGCCAATATGCTAATAGTTACAAAATGGCATTTACAATTCAATTTCAGAGAACATCGAATTGTCACAGGGCGCTCATGGCCTTTTGAGGGAGCATTCAAAATATGGATTCTGAACACTAATGGTAGATAACACTAGAATTGAACCTAGAAGGGGGAGAAACGCCAGGAATATCAAGTCCCAAGTTTTGTAAGTGGCTCACTCACTTCAATGTCTCCCCTAATAGCGCGTCTGTCAATTTTTTTTAAGCCAATTTATCATTTCTGACCTCAGGACTAAACCTAAAGCGACTTAAAGGCAGCGATTTCTATAATTTGTAGGAGGGTTCAGAGAGACGTGGTGGTGCCCAGTGGTACGCCAGTGGCGAACAAAATGCACGAGAATCTCGTCAGGCCGTAAGGTATGCTTCCCCGAATGGTTGCGGGGACGAAAGTCCCTTTAAATTTTGTTTTGAACGATACTGTTTCTTTATTTTCAATGCATGCTTACTTTAAGCTACACACATATATTAGATGTAGGCCCTTTATCAGGACAATCCCAGTTGGGACTACAGAGAAAATTTAAAGGAACTTTCGTCCCCTAACCCTTCGGGGAAGCATACCTTACGGCCCCAGAACGCACAAGGGACCCTTTTTTGGTCGTTGGGTTCCACTCATGAAGGTAACAGCTCAGAGTTTACCACAAGGCGTTTGGTGGCACCATGCCATCTTCTCCCTTGATAAGTAGCAATTATGGTTCTATCTGAGGTTGTTGCTCTAAAGGGTTAGGAAGGGGAGATCCTTAGTAAACACCAGTAGGCGCTCTCATTTCGTACATCAAAGCCACAGAAGAAACAGTATTATAAAATCCCGTTCTCTCCATCATGCTCGAGACCGAAGAATATTCGAAAGAGGCATTCACAAACGCCTTATTAACTTCTATCCTTCTATTTTATAAAGCGCTAACTTTGTGTGTCGGTTTGTGTATCTGTATGTGTGTGTGTGTGTGTGTATGTATGTATGTGTGTCCGTCCGCAAAATGAAGTGAGTGAGAAGGAAGCTCATGGGATAAACAAACCGCTAACAAATCGGGTAGCTTACAGGATTTGAGATATCAATGTTTTGTAGCAGGATAGTTGTGATAACACTCTTAGGGCTATATAAACACCTGCTTAGCACACTTCCGTTCATTCCACATGGTGCTGCAGTGGCAGCTGGGAGGGCAGTGGAGAGAGGAAGGGAGGATGAGGAAGGGAAGCGAAAAATCTACCGTCATATCATGATTGTGTCCCTTCTACTGTATGAAACACCATTGTGTTGCATACGCGTCACTTCCAGGGAGGTGTTGGTGTCACAGGAGGAAGGGACCATAGCGGAGGATAGAAAGCTTGCGCAGGAAAGGAAGGTCCCGGCGGTTGACGGGGGACTAATCTGGTGTAAACAAATTCTGTGAAAATGAATACAGTGTTACAAACCTGTAATTACACAGATTACAAGCAAACGCCCGAGTACGACCACCATGCATTTCACGATGGAGATTAAAGATCAGCTCATCCGACTCCACAAATGGACAATCTGGGCACTGACGACGATCTGTAAGGTAAGACTATGGGTTTCGGAAAGATTGATGTATAAAAAGTCCATGGATATGATCTATACCTTCATTTTGATGATCTCTCTTCAGCACTGGTAGTACTTCTTTTGTAGGCCGCATCAAGGATACAACCGAGGGTTCCACTTTTATTGACAACGGGGCTTGAGGATCTAAGCAGGGTGGTTTGACTTCAACCTCTGTCGAAGAATTCAGCGCACCTTCCGTGCTGGCTCCACTGAAACTTTAAATACGGAGATAATTTTATATTATTCCCATGGAATAGATATCCTGCTAGACAGGGATATGTTAGTAAACTGAGATTCCTTTATGCAAGAAATAGCAACTACCTGTCGTCGAGCGTTGATGCTTTCTGTGAATCGGGTGTTGTTGTTTCGTCACTGCCTGACTTCCGGATGCCATCCGCGGACTGCGACCGACTGGGCACTGAACCAGTGTCCATAGCGCTATTAGGTTCACTGTGAACAATCATATGCTCCTCCAAACACATTTCAGATCCAGTGCTGAAATTTTTAAATAAAATAAAGTTAAAATTATATTATAAAATGCAGTTAAGATATTGTAATTCGTTGTATGAAGAACTTAGGACCTTTCTATGCTTGACTGTTTTCTTCTGCCAACGAAGTTTGAAGGTGACACCTTATTTACCGCCTGACGTTTCAACTCGATCGCCTTCCTTCAAGAGGCCTGAACGTGGCTCAAAGTTTATGAAATGCCACCTAAATCGCCTAAAGCCTGTTCTCCCTAGCGTTCCGATGAAATGTTAGGGAACAACCGAGAATCCGAATGTGGCGTTTAGCGTTGTAGATGGCATTTCTTGAACTTTGAGCCACGTTTAGGCCTTTGAGGAAGACGATCGGGTCGAAACGTCAGGCCGTAATAAATTTGTCACCTAAAACCTTCGTTAGCAGAAGAATACACTAAATTTAACAGCGACGGATTCTATGAAGAGAGAACTTGGAGATTAAGAGGCGCTACCACAAGATACGGGGGGCATTGTTGTGGTAATGCATTTAAAATAGCGTAAAACCGTCTCCTTTTCGTTAAAAACGGAACTAAGCCTTATGTGAGGAGGAGGGACTCCAGGTGCAGCAGACACTTTCATTCTCCCTCGGAATTCTCCCCCCGTCCTAGGCTTAGTCCTAGAGGATGCCCCCGTATATTGCGGTAGCGCCGATTAGGAGAATGCCTTTCAAGATTCATGCGTATTCAATTTCGACTCTGTACCTGGCAGCATACTTACTACTCACCTGAACGTGCATTTACTGCAAACAAACTTTGCTGACTTCTTGTGCTTCTGCTTATGATTCCACATCCGCTGGTAGACAGTTGTCTTGAAGGGGCACACACTAAAAAGTGGGAAAATTCCATGGGTCAAACGCAGGTTTGCTCCAATCTGCCCAATATTTTGTCAAAAAAAAATCGATCGGCAATAGTCATGAACTCACTCGCACTTCAATTCCACGTAAGATGGTGTCACAGACAAGGATTCCTCGTCTTCAGCCGTATGCTGCTTAATGAGTACCCTTTTAGTCCTCTCGTAAAAAACATAACAATAAATACAAAAATTAGTCCTTTAAGCACTCACTTGGATGAAAGCTACTCCTTCAGGGTGAAGAAGCTGATGCTGTTCCATAACATCTAAGCTGACCGATGTGAATGAGCAAAGAGAACAGTTGAACCGTTTTGATACTCCCATATGATGCCTGAAAAAGGATTATTATTAGAGCAATTCTCGGTTCCTTTTATTTGCAGCGGACCGAAGAACAACTCAGGGATCGACTTGTAGAATTCGGTTATAAGCAAATCGAAGGAGAAATTTTGGGATGTTATAATGAGCATCTATGTCTGTTTTCCTACGTTAATAAATAACCCGTAATATTTACTGCTACTCGCCCATATACTCTTCAGGAAAGCCTCGTCACCTCCACTTCTATATTTTAGACTTAAAGGCAGAGGCCATCATGATCAGAATGCACTCCTGCATAGCATACTGCTAATAAAACTGATACTGTGAACAGGAACCTCTGTTGGTTTGCTTCTTTTGCTCCGTCGAAATCTTTGCAGAAATGGTGCGAGAATGATTTTTGCAGAGAATTTCAATGACAGATTGTCAGATTTTTACGCGTTGGAATATTCGACGATAAGGTGGGAGAGGGAAACGTACCATTAAATAATGGAAAACAGGCGGACCCCTAAGGGTGCGGACCGACACGCAATTCGCAGCGAAGGATATGCCCGGCGACCTAGCATGGCCTCCTCGCGGCGCTATCGACGCGGCACGCCCACCGACTGGCTAACCACTCGCCGCAGGTCTCTAGCCGTTAGCAGAGAGAGCGTTAGCGTTGAAGAGGGCAGCACCGATGAGAGTCGCATCAATGCGGAAATCAACGGAAAGGGTCCCATTTCTCGGGTTCTGGGTCGTTTCTCA